AAGGCAGAGGCTTTGGAGTACGACTGCTTGCATGTAACGCTACTAGGGCCCCCTCCAATTTCTCCACCCTGCCTCATTACAACTGAGAAAGGAGCCAAGACTTTAAAGAAGGGAAGAGCTCAGGATTGAAAGGGTCTTTGCAGGAGCTATGGCATTTCAGTGGGTCTCTAGTGGGCAAGAGGCTATTTTTAGTTCCGTTTTCTCCCTCAGTCAGTAGGTTTCAGAATGTTCTGGTGACGGACAGAGTTTTGGAGGGTGCTGACAGATTAGAGAAATTACTGCCACATGCATTAAAGAAGGTCAGGTAAGGAAGTGGTTCACAAGAAAACACAACTCCCTTTAAGATTGTGTGGAGGATGACAATTTCCTAGCCCCCAAAATAGATTTTTTGTTTCATGGATAAGCTTCATATATTAAGGAAACAAACACCAAAACTATCAAAAATGAAGCCAAACAAATGTTAGGATTTGGTTGTGGGGAACCAAAGTACTAGAAAAATTGATTGTAAATGTGATGATGTGCGCTGAATCCTTATTCCACACCCCCATTTGCACATATATGTTTGAAGTACACCCACAAGCTCAATGCTCTTAATCAGTGATTGTTCATGGAAAACTAGATACATGAAAGACACTGTAGGGGAGGGGACAGTGAGCAAGATGGGACTTGTCCGTTTCAAACCTGGCCTTATAATGAAGCCAAAGGAAAATGCAATGTTGCAAAACAATTTTGAAGGAGATGGTAAGTGGTAAGGGAGTTCAGAGAAGGGAAAGTGCATCTCTATTGAAGGTGGAGGAGAGGTTCAGGAGAGTCTTCCTGAAGGCAGTGGGATTTGGGCTAGGTTTTGAAAGATGTGTATAAAAGCAAGTGTGACATTGTGGGTGAGGGAGAGTTGTCCTAAGCAAGGAATCAGAATTTTCATCAGGTGATGTAATAGAAATGTTCAGAGAAGTTCATTTAGATTTGGTAGTATTTCAAGGATTGAACTGCAGGTAGAGATATACAGTGATGGAGTATACTTGCCTCTTGTTCAGGAATCTGGGCCTTCCTAGTTCCGTGATCTTCAATAAATGTTACCTGGACTACGGTCATGTAAAGGTGTGCACTGGCTGCCTCCCTTCTTAGAAAATGGAAAACAGACTTAAATTGGCTCAGGAAGTTTTGCCTTCAAAGGTGGAGCTGTGCAGTCCCTTTGGGAGGTCTGGACAGCCCCGTGCCAGCAGCGCTCATGAATCTAAATATTCTCAGTGGAATGGGTAAATAGAACGAAGGCAAAAGAGAACATTATTCTTATTTTATTCATGTTTTATCTTTCCCACTAATACATTTCATTCTCCCTGAAGGAAGGAATCTTTATATACGATCAACTTGAGCCCCCCAGAGGGCTGGCTATAATAAGCTCTGAGCAATGCTTATAGAATCGAATTAAGATAAACAGGAACATCTCAACAAACATTTGAGTTCCTGTTGGGTGCCAGACACTGTGTGTGTGAGTTGTTTTTGGCCCTGAGCATGCCTTTTCTTGGAACATGTATCACATGATATCAAACACATTCAGCTATCCCTATTTCCCATGTTAAATGCAATTGTTGAGATGGTTTATATAACTTTTACAATTATGAGTTTTTTAGAATGAATTATTTAGTTCTTGTGATTTAACCTTATGTTCTTATGTAACTATGAATTGAATTCTAGTTCATCAAGTTGACATAATGTTGCATTTTGAAGATATCCCATGAAATAATTACTGATTTAGATTTTGTGGTTTTCTTTTCCTTATGGTGGGACCACAAAAATAATAAATAATATAACATAATATAACATAATATAATATAATATAATATAATACAATATAATATAATATAATTAATATACAATATAATTAATACAATTAATAATATAATATAATATAATATAATATAATATAATATAATATAATATAATATAATATAATATAATATAATAATCTGAAATACTATATTTCAGACCTCAAACATTTAAAAGCCCCGGGTCCTGTGTCTTAAATGCCCATTGGATGTTGGAAGAACAAGATCATTGAAACAAGGTCCCTGCTCTCTGGGCTCCTAACTGTGTAGCAGGACAGACCCATTAGAAAGTTTTGTCAACATAATGTGGTCACCTTTTGGGAAATCAGATGGAGCACTTAGCTTAACAGAGGGCTTCAAGAAAAGTATTGAGGAAGATCCCTGAACTGAATCTTGAGGGACTGGTGAGTTAGCCTGGGAAGGGCAAGGTAGAAAGGGCAGAGAGAGTATAACAAACCTAAAACAGTGTGTGAATTCCTAATAAACCCCAGGAGCTTAAATATTAGATTAGTATATACTTTTAGAAGTTTCTGTTGCCAAAATTGTCATTGGTTCACTAAGAATATTGGTGAATAAATTGTGAGTAGAAAAACAAATGACCTTTACAGGGCAGAAATAACCCAACACAGTAAAAATCAAGGAGATATAAAGATAAGTTGAATATTTGGTTTACTGTTACCATGGAGGCTGAGATACCCATCAAAGGCATTGGTGTTAACCTCAGGGGGGGATGTTTTCCTGGAAGTGGAGCGTATTTATCCGACCTGCACTTGGTTAGCCTGCAAAGCTTAGTCAGCACTGTCAGGTACAGGTGGAGGAGAAATGGACCAACCTGTGGAGGATAAGTTTGAACAACTAATACCCACAGAATCAATACCTCTAGTCATTAGAATTGGAGCTGAATGGTCCCTCATTGTTCTTATCTGATATAATTTGGACATACTTAAAAATAGTGAGACTTGAAATAAACCATAAGGCAACAATTAATCTCTTCATGTAGAGCACAGAAATAGTTTTGCATTTTAAGGGATTTAATGTATGAATTTCTGTATTTGGTTTTGTGTGAGAGAAACCATTGAAACCAACCAGTTTGTTTTTTACTAGGCTTTCTGCTTCTATTCACATAAGAAGCTTCCATCTGTGTGTTGAGAGACTGTCCATATGCCCAATGTATTTTTTAATTTAGAATTTACAATATTGTGAAAAATTACTTCTTTAAAAAATATATATTTTTAAACCTATGGCATAAGGGATTATAGCTGTCTTTTATTACACACTCATTGTGGTATGCCATAAATACCCCTAATTCCTTCATGTTTAAAATGCAATATTCAATTTAATCCTCAAAACAACTCCAAGAGTAAATACTATGATCACTCTTATTTTATTTTTTATGCTATTGTTTTTTTTATTAAGGTATTATTGATATACAATCTTATGAAGGTTTCACATGGATAACATTATGGTTACTACATTCACCCATATTATCAAGTCCCCCTCAAATACCCCATTGCAGTCACTGTACATCAGCATAGTGAGATGCTGTGGAGTCACTACTTGACTTCTCTTTGGGATTAATATAGAAACCAAATATAGAAATCAAATGTATAATCATATATGACTTGATTATTTTTCCTGTAATTCCTGATACGTGATCAAGAACAGAACAAACAAGAACAGAACAGTTTCTGTGACCGAATCACCCTTGCTGTTGTTTCAATACCATGTAAGACGTTGCGCCCCAGGAGACTGGAGACTGCTGAGGATTAAGTTTAGAATTAGTTAGTGATTGTGTATTAAGCGCCCCTCACAGAACTCTATTGTTGTTAACAAGTATATGCTCAATAAATACAAAGGGTGCCCTCTCAGCACCACTCTTACGCTGTTAAGCTTCGAGTCCCCTGACTGGTCCTTTCAGATCTTCGGTATCTCATTGTGTCTCCTCCCTTATCTGCGGGTCAGAAGCAGGGGGGACCGACAAGTGGCGCCTGGACAGGGACCTGAAGCTCAAAGCGGGGAAGCTCCAAAGATCGTCGATCCGGTAAGACTCACAGGAAAGCATAGGGACAGGGTCGAGATGTCAGGGACACTGTAATGGGCCAAAATGAAACTAAAGCAGATAGACCGGAGGATTATTTAAAATTACTCCGTGCCTTCCTAAAAACATCAGGAGTGAAAATTTCTAAAAAAGATTCCGCGCAACTTTACAAATATATTAAAAAACATTGTTACTGGTTGCTCCCACAAGGAACCCACAGACAAGCTGATGGGAGTAATGTATTAAGAGATTTCGAAAAGGCTCACAGACAGGGAAACATTATCCCGGTACCTGTTTGGGTGAATCAATGGCCCGTCAGTAAAGAAAAACTGTCAGCTTTACACACATTAGTTCAAGAACAGCTTCAGTTAGATTAGAATTTTCCATAAGCCTGTAGAATTCCCCTGTATTCATTATAAAAAAGAAGTCCGGAAAATGGAGACACTTACATGACTTAAGACAAATTAATGCAGTCCTTAAACCTATGGGACCTTTACAACAAGGCCTCCCTTCTCCAGCCATGATTCCGAAAGACTAGGACATGGCTATCATTGGTCTTAAAGATTGTTTTCTTTTTTTACAATTCCTTTAGCTTTGGCAGATAGGGAAAATTTCACTTTTACTGTACCCTCCTTAAATTTACAAGCTCCTTCAGAAAGATTCTAATGGAGAGTACTTCCTCAAGGAATGTTAAACAGCCCTACAATTTGTCAAAATTATGTGCAAGGGCTCTCATGCCCCCTCCTGGTGTGAGCCAGGAGCTCTGTCCGTCCTCTCACTGTATCTCTAAATAAAAGCCTCCCCTTAGCTCTCCTACCTTGACTGTTTGCTAAGTTCATTCTTCGACTCCGCAAACAAGAACCCCGGCATCATCTTGGGGGCTTGTCCGGGGTAACTTCAGAGGTGAGTACCGGAATCCGAGCCTGCCTCTTCTTTCGCTGTCCTAGAAGGGAGCCGTCTATGGCACACAACATTGGGCACCCCTCAGCCACTTAACTGGGACGAGCCTGGCTTCCGTTCTCAAAGTCTCGAGCGACAGGTTCCCCTGCGTGTCCCTCACTGGATCCCCCGTCTCCCTTGGGAGCCGGGAATGTCACCTGAGTGGAGGCCAGGATTCCCTTTCAGAGGCATCTCCTTGGATGCGAGGGACTGAGGAAGGCCGTGGGCACCAGCTGGGGCCACACTTCAGCGGCTTCTCAAAGGGCCGCGTGTCTGGAATCAGACCCCGACAGCCCGACTGGGTGTCCATGAGGAGTGACTCTCTCTGTCTCTCTGGCTTCCAGCCTGCTTCTTCAGGCTGCCCTGGCCTCTGAGTGAGGCAGGGGATGTTACTAACTCTCTCCTAACTTCATCAGTTTCACGGAACATGATGCCCACCACAGCAAGGTAAGAGATTGCTCTTATTCCTGACTAAATGCTGTACTCTTTATCTCATAAAATGTGTCTGGGCACCTGTTAGCCACTTAAAAGATGATTAGCGTTGGCTACCAGTCTTAAGTCTCTGATTAGAAAGGCTTGGCCCCTGAGAGAAGTATACAGTATGATAAGGTTATGCAGCTAAATATATTTTGATGCAAAGAAAGAAAATGGTAAAAAAAATCCCATAGACTACAATATGGAACTAGTTTTCTAAATTTTTTTAGTGAAAATCTATTTTACTTATTGGGCTCATCATTATCTTAAAAAATTGGGAGGTTTTTAAACTAGACTCCCTGAAATGGAAGAAATTTATCTTCTGCAATACAGCCTGGCTTTAAATGACCTGTGCTAGAATTGTACTTGCATTTCATTTCCAGACCCCTGAACACACACAGTCCCTATCGGTACAGAGCCTTCACCGGCCCTGTGAAGTGTGTTCATAACTTTGTTAATCTAAAGAATGCTAGTGTAATGGTTTACAATAGCCCGCTTCTCAGTGTTCACTGAAAATTAAGGTTCCTAATGGTTTTAAGTTCTAAATAAAACTACTTAAAGTAATAAGGAAAACATTTCTGCATACTAAAGAATGTATCTTTTGATAAAAGAAGGTAACTGTTCTAAAGTACAGCTGTTTATTTAAAGAGGGAGAACACAATGTAAAAAGAAAGTTGTAGAAAGTTTGTGGAAAATTGATATAGTCATGCTATGTGAAATTAAAGCAAATAAGTCTTGATATCTGGTATGCAGCAAAACTAGAATTTTTTCTTTGTTAAAAGAACAAAGGTTTATTAGTCTACCATTAATGTTGAAAGATTGCAAAGGGTTTTCTAAATTGTTTTGCCAAAACAGTTTCTCATATGCTTAAAGTCTCAATGAGTTTTCTGAGTATTTAAGCAAATGAGATCTTAATATTAAAAGGACTAAAAGCTAAACTTTAAGTTTGTGTAACCTTCTGTATTTGCCTTTGAGGTATTTTGTTGTCATTCTGGTTAAATGGATAAGTATTGCTTCATGGCAACCTGTAATCTTATTTAAGCAAGTGCCAAAGAAACTTTCTTCTGACAGCTTCTCAAAATCAAATTCAAAAAAGTGCTTTTTACTTCTAGTTCACTCTGATATTTTCCAGAGGGCCCCTGGAACATGTCAGAGGAATTTTTTCTCATTGGAGAAATATTTGGCTAATTTGGCTTATTTATCTGATACATATTTACCTGGAAAGCACTGTCAAAGGGAATGATGCTAAACTTTGTTACTGAATGTTTATGTTACAAAAATATCCAAATTTTCTTATGTCAACTGTCTTATAGTAAGCTCTCATCATTTGTAGGTCTTCTGTCATATAAAGTCACTGTTTTATACTCCTAATCTAGTAAAGAACTAGATTTCAGCAGAGCAAGTATTAGTTACATAAGATTAAGTAAACTAAAGAAAATGATTTTTTGGCTTTTTGTTTCAAATGTTGCTGATAAAGTATTTTAAGCTTTTTCTCTTAAGCTGACTGACAATAGTTTAGTAAAGGACAATATCTTTATAAGCAGAATTGAAACATTTATCTTTCTACCTGACCCTCCACAATTTAAAAACTTTCAGTGAGTATTTTATGGCAGTATGTTTATTTGCAAAAGTCCAATAAGAAGCTGCTTTCTTTGTAACAGGAACAGTCAAAAAGACTGGTTGTATTACCAAGGCTTTGACTGGAATGTCATACCTGAGATACGTGGGTAAACTCAGATATGAACAGATGGCTTTAAGGAACTAAGATTGACTTTATAGAGCCAGCAAAGCCCCTTGGAAGAACTGGCCTGGTACCTTGCTTACAGGGTTCCCAAGCAGCCGTACCAGGGAAGTAAGGAAGGTTACTTCCTGGCAGGTGCAGGAACCTCAGGAATGTCTTGGGAACCTCAAGAAGAGAGGAATTCACCCAAATCTACAGGTACTGCAGGCCCAGCCTGATGGCAAGTCTGGCTTGGCTTTCTGGCCTCAAGAGTCCTTTAAAAGTCCAATCTGAAATTCCTTATAAAATGTTCCAGCAAAGCATATTTAAAAGATCCTATGTAATCAATTGCTCTTCTTGCTGCACTTATGCAAATACCCAAGCCAAGTGTTAATTATTTTCTTAATCTAGTTATTTCTAATAAAAATAAGAGTGATTTTAGAAAAAAGTATTGTTTCAATAAAGTAGCCTTATCTATACTAAATCCTAATACTAGTCATTGGGACGTAGACTAGACCCAGAATTCTAGTTTCCCCAAAATATCTGGCTATGATTCTCCAGATGTTTTAGTTTTCTCCCATCATTTCAATTAAAAGTTAACTGTTTCTAGTCCTTATATTCACCCATGCATTCTTAATCTTGTCAAGTTGCTCCAAAAAGGAAAATCCAACACCAGATGTTGCCACTTACCCTAATAACATGATTTGGTCTATCTTGCCTAGAAGCCATCAAACTGTAAATAGTAATAGAAATGGAGCCGGGAATAGAAGTGCCCATCTTCCGAGGCCCTCTCAACCATCCACTGATGGAGACCTAACTGCACCCCTTCTGTGCCCCCTCTCAGCATGAAGCAGCCAGAGCGGTTGTCGCCCCTTTTCCCTAGCAGCAGCTAGGGTCTCTATCTGTAGAGTGGGGAATGAGACAGGGACTGTGAGCTTAGGCAGAATAGGGTGAGAGCCTTCGGAAAAATTAAGGAAGGATATTTGCAGTCGGAGCAATGTAACTACGTGCAAGGAAACCCCCTACCAAAATTCTGTGTTAAACATTAAGCTCTAGAGTCATTCTTCAGTGAGATCAGTTGAAGCTCAAAAGACGAGGAGCAACTTGGCCTGGAATGTTTGAGTGTTCCGTAAATAAAGAAGGTTATCTCAGCATAACCCGTGACTTCACTGTAAACAGCCCTAGCAAACAACAGCCCACCCCACCTTAGGGGCAGGGCAGGTAGTACAATTCCAAACCCTAAGCCCTCTCTTCACATTATCAAGGTGTATGTGGCATGGAATGCATCCTTCCGGCTCTAATGGATTATCCTGGAAATAGTCATGAAAGATTTCTCCAAGCTCTGCCGTCTGATTGTGATGACAACTTGAAACTTTTAGATCCCACCTCTGTTGCAGTTGCAGCTGCATTCATCCTGCCGGTTCCTGGACTTGTTGGTGGAATGCAAAATGAAATATCTAAGTTAGCCTGTGCATACAGTAAGACAACGAATTTGACTGCTTCCATATTATCTGAACTCGATCGAGGATCGGGGGAAGTGTGAATAGCAGTGCTCCAAAATCATGCTACTATAGACTATCTGCTGTTAAAAGAACATATGGGGAAAGAGGGAGCCAGGATGGTGGCGTGAGTAGAGCAGTGGAAATCTCCTCCCCCAAACACATAGAGCTATGAAAATATAACAAAGAAAAATCTTCCTAAAATAGAGACCACAGGACACAGGACAACATCCAGACCACATCCACACCTGTAAGAACCCAGCGCCTTGTGAAGGGGGTAAGATACAAGCCCCGGCCCGGTGGGACCCGAGCGCCCCTCCCCCGAGCTCCCAGCAGGTGGAAAGAAACCGGAGCAGTTTTTTTTTTTGGCGAGCGCTTTTTGGAAGCCTTAGAGGGACGGGCCCCCGTTGCTGGGGAGGCAGGGTGGCGGGACCGGTGAGGAGGTGCCTGGGAACGGCGCCGGAGGACAAAGAATATCCCGCGTTTCTCCCTGCGAGACCTGGGGGCGGGTGCCTGAGACCGGTGCCTGAGGACGGAGGAGGTCGCGCGTTTTTCCCCTTTTTTTTTTTTTCTCTTTTTGGCGAGCGCTTTTTGGAAGCCTTGAAGGGACGGGGACCCCAGTGCTAGGGAGGCACGGTGGCGGGACTGGTGAGCGGGTGGCTGGGACCGGCGCCTGAGGACAAAGAATATCCCCCGTTTTTCCCTGCGGGACCGGTGGGCGGGTGCCTGAGACCGGCACTTGAGGACAGAGGAAATCGCGCGTTTTTCCCCTTTTTTTTTTCTCTTTTCTGCGAGTGCTTTTTGGAAGCCTAAAAGGGACAGGGACCCCGGTGCTAGGGAGGCAGGGCGGCGGGACTGGTGAGCGGGTGCCTGGGACCGGCACCTGAGGACAAAGAATATCCCGCATTTTTCCCTGTGGGACCGGTGGGTGGGTGCCTGAGACCAGCACCTGAGGACGGAAGAAATCGCGCGTTTTTCCCCTTTTTTTTCTCTCTTTTTGCCGAGTGCTTTTTGGAAGCCTTGAAGGGACAGGGACCCCGGTGCTAGGGAGGCAGGGCGGCGGGACTGGTGAGCGGGTGCGTGGGACCAGTGCCTGAGGACCAAGAATATTGAGCGTTCCTTCCCTGCGGGACCGGTGGGTGGGTGCTTTTTGGAAGCCTTGAAAGGACAGGGACCCTGGTGCTAGGGAGACAGGGCAGCAGGACCAGTGCGCGGGTGCCTGGGACCGGCACCTGGGGAAAAAAAAAAAAAAATCGCGTGTTTTTTCTTTTTTTTTTCCTTTCTGTTCCCTCTCTCATTGTTGCTGTTGTTGTTTTGGTTTGGAGAGTGCTTTTTGGAAATCTTAAAGGGGCAGGACAGGTCACTTAGACCAGAAGCAGGGAATCTGGGGATCTCTGGGCACTCTAACCCCCTGGGCAGCAGGGAGCACAGAGGCCCCTTACGGAGATAAATAGTCTCCTGGCTGCTCCCCCTCCAACGGGGCTCCACCATTTTGGAGGAACAGCCCCAGCCAGGCCAAGCCCACAGCAACAGCGGAGATAAACCCCAAAGCAACTGGGCAGGAAGCAGAAGCCCTGTCTGCGCACAGCTGCCCAGCACAAGCCACTAGAGGTCGCTATTCTCCCAGGAAAAGGCTACAAACCAACAAGAAGGGAAGCTCTTCCAGCGGTCACTTGTACCAGCTCTGCAAACTATCTCTATCACCATGAAAAGGCAAAACTACAGGCAGACAAAGATCACAGAGACAACACCTG